GAATGATGAATTTGGTAGAAGATCAGGGTTCCTGTTGACTTCATCCATGGAAAAAGCTAAGGCCAGTAAAAACTGGAAGTTTTTAGTTGTTGTTCTGTAAAAGGGTGTGGTGATTAATATGGACAGACATCTACACATGATCCTGAGTAGTCAACAGATGGATTCTTATGAGCTGTACCATATTCTCAACCACTGCCAATACTGATACAAATGACCTATGCTGTTAGGTTAGAATAAAATAAGTAGCTAGAAGCTCGTAAAAAGCTTTAAATGTTCATCAGAATGTAAACTTCCATAAATAAAGTGATACATCAGCAACTTTCAAACAGTGGGTTTTTTCAATTTCTGGTTTTTAAGTTCTTACTCTAAAGATAAACACAATGGCAGAGGCTTTAACCAAATAATAAACCTATTCATATATTTATTTTTAAATCATCGATTAATGTGAAAAATTCAAGAGATGTGTGAGCCTATGATTTTATCATATTTTCTTATGAAATTAACTGAATTTGATAAAACTCTCAACTAATGCCTGTTGAGTGTACAATAGTATGGGAAACATTCAGCTGTTTTGCTTTCAATTCTTTATAATAAGTGGGCATTATAGTTAACATATTCCCTTGATCTTTGTGCTATTCTTTTTATCTGATTTATCTAATGGAGGTGTAAAATCTTTTTTTAAGATTTATATTTAAATGAATTTAAATACCAAAGATGTATTTTGTAAAGATGTATGTATGTGTTCACCATGTATATAGACAGTATTAATGTTAATGTGGGTGATTAATAGAGTATATATTCCAACGTTTTGAACAACAATTTGCTACAGATTAGACTGGCCTCAAAAGTACAAAGATACACCAGCTCCAGGTTCTTATTGCAGAGATTAAAGCCATGTTCTACCTTCTAAGTACTCTTTACCTAATTTATGTTTACACAGAATGTCATATATCCTCACTCGAGACTTCTGACCAATTGCTTTTTATACTACAAAACTGCGTTGACTCCATTTCCAGTTACTCTAACACAACAATAACATCTACATTCATTTGTGTATGTCAGGTTAACATCTGTGTAAAATAGAAGATGATAAAGAATAAAATCTGAGGAAAATGCTTATGAGGCTTTCTGTAATAAAAGTGGGCAATAAGCAAGGTGAGAGTGAATAATACCAATTTGTGTTCATTTTTTTTTGGAAGAGCAGTAACTTCCGTCTCTTCCTAGTCATTTCATATAATCTGACCAATAAACATTAATCATACTTCTTCATTCTAAATGATTCACTAAGAGTAAAATGAAACTATTTCCCACTTAGATATTGTACCACTATGATTTCTTTATGCATTTACACGTATATATTTAAAATAAAAATAATTTTTGAATATTTTTGTTACCACATAGAAAAAGGGTCATTGAAAATTGTAGTAACACACAACAGGAATTTGAGAGTAGATCCTGTGAAGCCCAAACACCAATTCCTTTCTCCCAAACATTAAGAAACATAAATCTCTTGAGCAGTTATAGTGTCCCAGTGGACTAAATTTTTGTGCTTGATAACAACAATTACCAATATGACAAATTAAAATATGTGTAGTCCCCATGTTGATATAATAAAGAGTTATAATTAGCAAAATTTCTGAAAGAAAATTTAAGAGTTACATGGGAAATAAGGGTCAGAAAATAAACAATTTAGATACAAAGAGACAATACCTTTGATTTTAAAATAATGGCAAAGATGTGCTAGTATGTAACTGCTCTATCCCCTCTCTAATGTGTTGCTAACTATCACACACCAGGGCTGTCAATCAAGTAAGTAACAAGGGAAGTGTCAACCGCACTTTTCAAAGAATGCAAGCATATAATTCACAGGTCATAATTCCTTTTTTTAGCAAAACTAGAAGAAGAAGTGAAATTTGCGATTAAAGGGCAGTGATTTTTAATGTATGTAAATGAAGTATGGAGAAATAGGAGCACATATGATGATTACAATGGACAGGTGTCTTGCTTCCATTCTTGATGCAGTTTGAGGATAATGGAATCACATCAGATCATGCAAGAGAGTAACTGTATGTCTATGTGAAAACTCTTCACAGCTAGGTGTGTCACAAGTATTAGTTGCCCTAGCACATGCTTTACAGTCTTACACATTGATGAATGTCCATCAGTTGATTGTAATCTATGGCATTTACTTAGGCCCACTTAGGATGATAATAACTGAAATAGAATGGGGTTTTGTTTAATAAGTCATCTCCTGCTACAGTGTTGTATGTATATGTATTACTGATCTTGATTAAGGGATTTTGTTTGTATAGCTTATTCAAAAATGTAATGTATAATTAAGAAATACAGATTAATAGATAATCATATGTAATAGTCAAAATTGCTCTACCACCAGTACAAACCTAGTAAACATGATCCTGCCTAGGCAGAGAGCACGGAGCCATGGACATAGTCTCATCCACTTTCCTTCCAACTCTGAGTGGGCACACAAACACAAAGGCCTAAAAATACTGGTTTTTTTTCAGTTTATGTTCTAAAAAAGACAAGAGTGTTTATTATGGACAGAGATCTACATAGGATTATTTGTAGCAAAAGAAGGATTATCCCATATGGGACAATATTTCCAACCTCCCTCAATAATGAAGCAAATGTCCCATGTTGTAAGCTTACAATGACATTATTTGCTGAAACGTTAAAAATAGTTAAAAGTTCATGAAAGTAAATCTCCCATAAATACGTTGAGCCATTTTCAAATTTCACAGAAAAGGCCATGCATCTCTGGTTTTTTATTGCTTTCACAATGGTTAAATAAAAGGTACAGGCTTTGGTGATACAGAAAACCTGATCATATATTCAGTTTGAAATAATTTAGCAATATTAAAAGTACACATAATGCATTAGCCAAGATTCAGGTAAGTTTTATGAAACAAACTTAACTGGAGGAGGTATTCAAGGAATTACTGGTAAGTGCACAGTAGTCTCTTGGAGGTAATGTTTGATTCCTGAACTAATAATTCCTTCATATTTAGTGGACAATATAGTTAATATATTCCCTCATATCTACCATCACTATCTTGTATTTTAATCTTTCTGGTTTATCGATTAAAGGTACAAAATGTTCTTTAAATATTTAATTTTTAATACATTTATCTATCAGACTACATTTGGTAAATAAATTGATTTGTGTGTATGGACATGAGAAATACTCATATAGAAAATAAAAGGGAATGGATTTCACAATTTTCAATAATTGTTTTTTTTTTGCCACTGGCCTTGAATGCATAATGATACACCTACTCCATTTCATAAATGTAGAGATTAAGAGCCTAAACCACAATACTGTCCAAGTATTTAATACTTACAAAGGTATGTTCGATGTAATGGTACCTGGTATATCTGAACAACTTAAATTTTCTTGTACAGAGAACCTTTTGTCTACATTTCCAGTTATAAACTCACAACACTGGCAAACAATTGAGAACTATGTACATCTGGAAATTGCAGTGAGATTCGTTTGTGCCAGTATCACAAGCTTGTAAAGTACAATAATATAAAGTGTGCAATGTATGGAAAATATTTATGAATTTTATAATATAAATAGTCAACAATACAATTTTGTGTTCATGTTTACCCTTAAATAATATAAACTACTACTAATAATAATAAATAATATCCCCTATGTCTTCTTACATAATATCGATCATATAAACAATAAACAACAAACACAAACATTCGCTTTCTTACTGAATGATACATTCAGACTTAAAAACAATCTTTTTTCTATTTTGATTTCTTACCATTGTGGTATCTTTATGAATAAATATAAATATTTACCTCTACATGTTGAAAATAAAAACAATCTTAAAATATTTGTTATTACCTTACAGAAAAATGCCATCAAAAGTTTCCTTAATACTCAACAGGAACTTGAGATAAGAATTTATGGAAGTGCTGTTTGAAACTGCTCTGCTCTCCTCTGGCTTCTCACTTCAGGATCCCCAGACCCACTCCAACCGCATCTACTGCATAATCAAACTAGGCCTGGGCATTGATGAAGATGAGGTGACAGCAGAGGAGCCCAGTGCTGCTGTTCCTGATGAGATCCCCCCACTTGAGGGTGATGAAGATGCCTCCCGCATGGAAGAAGTAGATTAGAGATACCCTGGGAAGACCATGTCCTCTGTATAGTTCCCCTGTGCTCCCCCAGCAGCCTTGACTGGCCCTGACCTACCTGGCTCACTGCTCCTGCAAAGGATCTCTTACCCTGTTTTGTGCCTTGAGGCAGGAAAATCCCCTCCCCCAGAATAGCAGGGTTGGCTATTGTGTATTGAGGTTTTTTTTGTTTTGTTTTGTTTTGTTTATTTGTTACAGAATTAAAAGTATGCAAAAATAAAGAAAATGCAGTTTTATGTAAAAAAAAAAAAAGAATTTATGGGAGCCCGGTGGTGGTGGCACACGCCTTTAATCCCAGCACTCCAGAGGCAGAGGCAGGCTGACCTTTGGGGGTTCGAGGCCAGCCTGAACGACAAGAGCTAGTTCCGGGAGAGGCACCAAAGCTACAGAGAATCCGTGTCTCGAAAAACAATAACAAAAACAACAAAGAACTTAATGGAAGTTAAACATTAACTCCTGAACACTAAACATGAGGAATTGTCAATGATTTGAGCTCTGGGGGTGGCATAGTGATCAAAGTGCTATATTTGAAAAGAACAACCAACAATGCGCAAGATCAAAAGTGCATAGTGCACAAATTGATAAAAGACAAAGCTATAGTTAGTAAAATTACTGAGAGAATAATAAGACATAAATTAAATAGTGTTGACAGTGAGTAACCAGTTTAGATCTATAGAGAAGAGATGCGTGCTTCTTAAATAATTACAAAGAGCTAGTAGATACCCTTCCCAAGTGTTGAAAAGTTTCACATGCTACAGCTGCCACTCAGGTAAGTGAAAAGAAAGTAAGCAGACACCACTATTAGTGACATCTCATATTTCAAAGAATGCTAACCTATCATTTATACAATAAAAAATTCTTTTTTAAGAGACAGTGAACACTTTCTTATGGAAATAAAGGCCTGTGGATGTACAAATACTTCTGACCCCCTATGAAATATTTATCATGACATTTACATAGACAATTCTAAGAAACTTACTGCATATTCAGAATGTGGTTTAAATAATCTGTCTCCACAGGCCGCTGTTCTGTTATAAGGAAGAAGACACAACCTGTCAACAAATCTTCATCCGTGTCTTTATTCTCATATATTCTCCAAAAGCACCTGGGTTGAGTGAACCTGGACACTAGAAGTGGAATGTTCAGGAAAAAGAAGATAAAAATCAAAGCAAACATCTTTGTCCTCCTTGAAGCCTAGGAAGTGTGTATGGTGAAGTGCTCTTCAGATCAGCACATTATATGAGTACCCATATTTTCCCACCTGCTTTTATTTCTGCAGCCAAAGGAGTGGCTATTTGTGTATTCGTGATTCCTTTATTTCCCAGATGATTTTTCGCCTCTGGGGAATCTTGGACACTTTCTTCCCCTATGGCTGTGCACCTGATATACATTTGATCCAAATTTAGCTCGGAAATATATGAGAAGAATTCAGGTAGTTTTATGACATCATTTAATTTGTGGAAATTATGGCTCTATGGGGGATGTCATTTTGAGAAAAATTTGGGGCCTTGATGGCCAGAACAATATTTTTATATTAATGCCTTTAAAAATGATGTCAGTGGCTTTCGTTAGATGATCTACATTGAGACAGGAAGGACACAAAAAGTCCAAATTTCTAGTTGCACACTGGGAATTCTCTCACAAAAATCCCTGTCAGGGAACAACAGTTCCATGGTTAGAGAAATTGAGTTTCACACAGCTTGCACAGTGGGGCTTATACTACAGGACTGACAGTAACAGAATATCTAACCAAATACTGTGCTTCCTTTGTCTTGAGAAAAAATAATCCGCTGCAATTCTAATTTTTTCTGAATCCTGCTGTTCTTCAATATCCAAATCCTCATAGAATCAGTTACATTTATAGCATTATAAAATATTTTTGATATTCAAAAAGATCACTACAGATTCTGTGTTCTACATTTCAAGCACTCAGTAATATCTTTTATACTTCCTCCAAACAACAAATAATAAATAGAAGATAAGGCAAATATTTTGTCTATAACATAATCTCCCTCATATCTCCATCCATGAGCATCAGTTTTCATAGATCAATTGGCCATTTGATGATTTTTTTTCTGCTTTATCTGTGATTTACTACAGTTTTTTTCTCATTTTAGATTCTATAGTGGTTTGGAATATGGCTTGTGAAAATCTTCAAAGGAAAGAGATACTGTGAAGTGACCATGTGCTCAATGCATATTTTGTTTTCTTCTGCCTGAATTTAAGCAAACTTTTTTTTTTAAAAAAAAATTACATATTGACCAAGACAGAATTTGCTCAGGACTAACATCTGGAAACATTCCAGGTTAGTTACTCATAAATTCTTTTCATACCATTTTCCAACTCAACTGTTTTGCTTGCCTTCTAGACTGTGCGTTGCCACTGTGAGGGTGCATTGATGAGTGTGAGCAGATGAGTCTCTTTCTGTGGATAGATATGGACTGCAGTAAAAGCAGAACAAATATAGTGCACAGAGGCCCCAAAATATGAGCTTATTTTCACATTGACCAAAAATCAGAGAGTTGAAACATATCTCAATTCCTCAGGGTTATTAGGTTTCTACCTCAAAGGTCCCATTTAGATTTAGATCAGAGAGTTCTGTTTTCTCAAGGTTATTGTCAACAAGCAAATAGCTAGTCCTTGTATTTCAGTAATAGAGAGTAGATATGCTTCTACTTCAAACAAAAGTCTCAGGATCCAACTAAGGTTCCATTCCCTTTAAAGAGGTAGCATTGGATTCCATCCAGGGAATAGTTTGCCTATAGAATATTTTGAGCTAAGATGTGAGCAAGGCTTGCTTTGTTCTAGCAGCAGACTACTTAATTATGGATATACCCCACAAACTTGGGCAATTGTTCTATTCATTTTCTTGTATCATGATGATGCAGTTTTTTTTTTAAATCTTACTCCTACCTTTGGGGCTTGGAGTATTTAAGCAATTGGAAAATATATGTGGGCAATTTCAATATTTATTGGGATCCACTCCATGTACTATTCTGTTTTATTAATTTAAAAAAAATATTTGTATTCTTTACTAATTTTTCTCAATCTCCACACCCCTATACTGGCAAGTGGTACTTTTGTCGAAACTGGTCCCTGACAGTAGTGTAAGACTTTCTCTGCTTGGTTGTAAGATTTACTTAGCATTTGATGAGGCAAACATGACTAGTGTTCTCCTTTTGAATTTAGTAATTTAAAGATCGACATGTAAAAGTACATGAACTATGGTTCTCTGATGAACTGTCCTGGGGGGCTAAGATGGGACAGAGAAGGGTATGACAGGAAGAGTCTTCCATAGGAACTCAAAACAAATTCAACTTCTTATTTATGTATTTATTTATTTTATACCAACTACAGTTTCATCTCCCTCTTCTTTTCTCAGTCCTCACCGACCTCCAATCTGCCTCTAACCCCAAACTCTTCCTTTTTTTTCTGTTCAGAAAATATCAGCCCTACCATGGATATCAATGAGACATGGAATTCCAATTTGTAGGAAGAATAAACATCTTGCCTTGTATTAAGGATAGTCAAGGTGGCATAGTATGTGGAGTATGATCTCAAAATCCTGTAAAGAAGTTTGAACAGCCCCTTTCTCAGAAAATTGAAAATTATTCTAACTTGAGAATCAGAAAAATCATCCTTCAAGAGTGCAAATGAAACTTACATCAGTATAGGTTTGGCTATGTACCCAGTTTTGTTTTATGTGTAATAATTACTATTATTTTAATTAATAGATAATATAAAAGATTCCATTATATCACACTCACATATGTGTTGTATGACCTTCCTCAGTATTTACCCCTCTGTTGCAAATTATGCTGACCTTACTACCAATTCTATTACTCAGTTCACAAAGCTTCCTTCTCACTTAACGATGTTTGTGTAATTGTCCAGTTTAGCATAAAGTGTAATATTTTTTCATATTGGCATTATAGGGTATCCAAATCAAATTATTTCAGGCATTCACATCTATAATAATACCTCTTCTATCAACCCCTCACACACAAAGACTCTCACTGTTACATTTGAGTCTAAGGAAAATCTGTATTTCTGGAGTCTGTTCAGGTAATATGATGACCCAATTCCTCTTAATGACATCATTGAATTCTTCCAGCTTGAGGAGAAGCCCCTTATGTGCAAATAAATACTACGAGGTGTTAATCTTAATTACAATATGAAAGAGAAGTGTGAATCCAGCAATCTATATGTTTAATTTTATCATTGGTTCCAATAGTTAATGAGTTGTATGGGGTGTATCTATTTATTTATCTTTCTTTTTTCTGTCCAGAATGTTTTAATACATTTTTTTCTTCCTTTACATAGCTATCTACATTACAATTTTCTTT